CCGGGCAGGTCGGAGGTGCGTTGTGTTGACTGCGGTCAGGCAAACTCTGAGCCGTGGCTTTGAGAACGATGATGGAGTGATCTCGTGTGGTTTTGTTGTGCGTGTGAACACACAGTGTTACAGTGGAAATGCTTGTGAGGTGCTTTCAAAATGTAATAAATATAAACAAGGCTGGAGGATTTGGCTAAAAACACGATATAATGCCTTATTTCAGTCGATACGATATAAAGACAATATATATGAAGGATAAGAGCAACTATATTTACTGTACTTACAAACCTGATGTTGTTTCAAATATCTAATTAAAATTGACTAGTCAGAACAAAGTCACATCTCAGTTTTACTTTGATTTGATTCAGATAGTAATTTATTGTAGGTATCTTAAATTAGAGAACATTATTGGTAAATCGGACATTTATAGTAGTCACTGTATTTACAAATATTACTGTAGGTATTTATATAAATGGGTATTTTGCCTAAATACACTCAGTGTTCTATCAATGGAACCATATCAGACGGTGGAACAGGTTTGATGTGTTCTGCTGCGAGTCGGCACATTTTCCAGCAGACTGAAAGCTGAGATCTTATCAGACCTTTGATACCTGAACCACACCTACACCGACTTACAGATGAATTACAGATGTTGCTGCAAACATCAGTTTACATCAGAAGCCTCAGTAGCTTCATTATAACTTACAAAACATTTAGACACATTTTTATAATCCTGCTTTTTCTATTCTCTTCAGCCTTGAACTTTTAAAAACTTCAAACCAGTGTGAAGAAAAGGTGGCGTCATTTTAACATGATTAAATTTTAATGGTTTGAACGTCTGTTTCTCTTTGTGCCAAATTACCGCTTCGAAGCAGTGTAAGTTATTTCTACCTTCTGGTTGTGTTGAAGCAGCCTGAGCCTTTGAGGGAGTGAAATAAAGCTTCGGCTGATTTGCGACACGGAGCTGAAAGAAAAGTTTATTTAAAAGTAGATGGGAGAGTCAAGTTCGATTGTTGTTATCTGAACACACAACTGAGACCAGAAACTAAACATCAGCTGCTCMTTTTTGTTTTTCCCTCATTTACAGGAAGTTTTATTTATTTTAGCTGATGTTTTTTTTTTTACTTTCGTAAGAATGTTGTTTATATTCTAAGGGGAAAAGAGGGTGAAACAGAAACACAAACTATAGTTTTAAACAATAAANACCAGAAACTAAACATCAGCTGCTCATTTTTGTTTTTCCCTCATTTACAGGAAGTTTTATTTATTTTAGCTGTTTTTTTTTCCTTTTTTTTTTTTACTTTTGTAAGAATGTTGTTTATATTCTAAGGGGAAAAGAGGGTGAAACAGAAACACAAACTATAGTTTTAAACAATAAAGTGTTATTTATAAAACTCTTTCTGAGCACCGCTGGCCAAAGTCTTGTACCAAACAGGAAAACAATAATTTAAAACATTTTAAAATAAAAATCACTGTATTTTCCAAAGGACTGATTTTTAACGGGTTTCTTGTTTTGATGCTGTTTTGAGTCATCTGGCTCCATTTATCTGTTTTGTTTTTAGCTTTTCTTCTAAATGTTCAGATTTAAGTGTCAGTTTGGTGTTTCTCTTTTTGTTGGAGGCTGATTAATCAGGTGGATTGATCCTGTTGATTTGTGATTCTTTATTTAAAACGCTACAGTTTGGTGTTTAATTGGTTAATCAGTAGTAAATAAATATATCATAACATGAGTCAAAATGATCTTACCTGCAGGAAGTTAAGCAAAAAGTGTCGTCTCAGTTTGGTCACAATTAAGCTTTTTCTTTTTGTTGTCTTCGATCTGCCATTTGATTTTATAAATCTATATACTCTCTTAAATTTGACTCAAAGTCYAAAGAATGAAGGGTTTGAGACAGGTTGTGAGTTTTTAAAATGTTCAGAGATGTTTTGAAAACTTTCTCTGAAATAGTGAGAAACAAGTTCAATGCTGAAATAATTTTTAAATAATGTTTTGATGTTTTCCTCAGAGTGRCGGAGACTTTGAGTAAACGTGTAGAAATCATGTTTTCATGATGAAACGGATCTGCAGGATGAAGGAGGATTTCTTGACCTGATCGTCAGATGTTTCCTCAGCCAGCTCTTATTCCAGGAGCTGGATCAGATGTGAGCCAGGGTTTACAGGATGTCCATCGTGTTGGTCCTGCATCCAGAGTAGACAGAAGTGTTACGATGGCCTGAAGAGAGGCTGCTGGTGTTTGGGGTCAGGGAAGTACAACCCGGTTAGTGAGGTTTTCTCAGAGCTGAGATCCAATTCCATGTCTTATTAAACTAAAATTAAAGCTTTCAGGTGTCTCTGTGCTTAAAAGCTTTTTTTTAAACTGCCTGACTGATTTCCTATATTATCGTCATCAGAACTGATGAGGAATCTGTCAGTAAAATAATTAAATTACTCAGTGTTAAAGAGACACTTCAGATCATTTGAAGTGTGGTTCTAAAGAATTAATGTCTGATCCAAGTGGATTACTGCTGTTTTTGATTTAATCTAAAAACTGTTTTTTAAACCTTTACCCTGCTGCCAGTTCCACATGATCTCCAGGCAGTGCTGCAGACTGAACAGGAAGTGCTACAGTTAGCTCCTGCTGATCTAACTGGGATAGTCAATTCTGGTCCTTGAGGTCCGCAGCCCTGCACGTTTTACTTGTTTCTCTTCTCTGACACACCTGATTTGAATGAATGGATGATTTTCAGGCTTCTGCAGAACTTTGAAGAGGTAATTCGCTGACTGAATCAGGTGTGTTAGAGAAGGGAAAAAAGTAAAACGTGCAGGGCTGCGGACCTCGAGGACCAGAATTGATTATCCCTGGTTTAAATGGTGTTTTCGTGAACTGCTCTGAGGTTTTGAGATGGAAGTTCTTGGCAGCGGACTCTCTGGGTTTTGCTACAGTCCTGCCTCTTTGTGGGTGGGATCATCGGAAACCTTCAAAACTTTATTTTCTGTCTGAGGCAAACGAAACAAGCAAATAAGATAAATTAACTGAACACTCACCATCCTCTTCCTCAGTTTCCAAAAAGGAAAAAAAAAGCAAAGTGTTTCTTTATGTGTTCCTGTTTGAATAGATTTTCAAAAAACAAAACGATGCAGTTGTGAGGTTTTAAAAATGGTGGGTTTGATTGACGTGTCTGTCTGACCAATCAGTGACCTCAAACCTTCAGCTTGACTCCGCCCAGTGGATACTAAAGAACTGAAGTAAATTATGTTAATAATTATTAAAACAGTGTTGTTGAATATAATCTGAGACGTTTATTTATTAACACTCGATTGAAATCCTTCATTACAGCGACTCTTTGTTTCAGGAGCTGACGTATAAAAGTTCCAACCAGAGCAGCCAGATGATAATCTTAAACGCTCTGCTGTAAACAGAGGTGATGTGTGTTCTAATTTGTTTAGCCAGTCTTTGAACTCAACATGCTGAGATTAACATTACTTTGTGTTTTAGAGATTAAATCCAGTGTGTCAGAATAACTGTCATAACTGTGGTCACGTCTGTATCGTAACCTGTAATCTGTTGGATTACACCTGGTTTATGCTGTTGTTATGGATTTGGGGTGTCAGCACCGAGGATTGGACCTCTTCGTGACATCGGTTCAGTTCTAGCGGGGTCCTCCAGACTGAGGTGTGGGTCTGATCTGGTCCAGCAGTCCTGGGTGTGCGTTAGGAGTGTCGCAGCGTTCGTCGCCTGTGTGTTTATCTCAGCAGAACAGGATCGGGTCTGTRAACGAGCRAAAAAGGAAGTGGTGCTCGCAGGAAACGCTGCAGCGAGGACGCGCAGCTGCAGCGAGCGCTCCTCCTCACACAGAGCGGCTGATTTGTCCTGAAATCATGAAACCTCTCAGCTTCTCAGAGAGACAGAGCTCAGCTTGGATTTCTGCTGTGCCGTTTCCTCACCCAGCCCCTTCCCCTCCCCTCCGGCGCTCCTCGGCCTGCAGTTGATTGTAGAGCCCGTCTGTTCCCCTTCAGACTGCCAGACCAGAGCACAGACCCGTTTGTCCCTGTTTTATTGCCCCCTCCTCCAGCCTGGTGCTGTGAAATTAGCTGTGTGGGGGTGTGGGTGTGTGGGTGGGTGTAAAGAAAGCAGGAGTGGAATCTTTGTCCACAATCTGAGTCATTATTTTTATTGTTCAGGCTCAGTTTGGTGATACGGCGCCCCCGCTGGTGGATGGTGTTTGGTGCAGGAGCAGACATTTTCCTTTCATGTCTGCCTTTGAAATGCCCATCCTGTGTGTGTGTGTGTGTGTGTGTGTGTGTACTTGTTTCTACTASAGAGTGAGGACCATTTGGCCCATAGTTACTGTCAAAGTGAGGTCTTTGATGTAAAGTGAGGACCTCTTCAATGTACTGTGCTTTACTAGTGAGGTTTAGAGGTTTGGTGTGAATTAAGTTCTGGTTCAGGTTAGAGTTAACTATAGACCAGTAATGGTTAATTTTAGGGAAAATGTCTGGGTTAGACATAAATATAGTTACAAAAATGAATGGAAGTCAATACAATGTCCTCAGTTTGATGCAAATACAAGGATGTGTGTGTGTGGTAAAGTGGAGAACCCAGTTCTGATTGCAGACGGTCCTGGATCTGATGAACACCTGACTTTTCTGGGTTTGGGTTAAAGTTTTGAGACGTCAGCTGCAGTCCAAYGGGAGAAATGTTTTATTAATAACGCAACACAGAAAATATACAGATTTATTAATGAAAAGTTAGAAGTTGACTGAGTAAAAACAAATACATTTAAAAACAGATTTTGTGTTTTTGTTTGTGTTGTGAAATTAGACACAAGGAGTTGAAAGAATTCACAAATAAATGACTTCAAGATGAGCTTTAAATATCACCAGATACATAAAAAAAATATATTTGGCACGTATGTCTCTGCATCTGATTTATTATGTGGTGATAAAAATAAATATAAACAGTTAGGACTAAAAGTATATAAAGTTCTGTTTAGTTTATTTTCTTGTTTTTGTTTATTTTTCTCCTCAGATGGAAACGAGCCGAGAGTCGCTACACGGTGGAGCGAGCTGCCATMATCAGCCACTGGAACTGGCTCCAGGCCCACATCTCGGACCTGGAGTACCGCATCCGGCAGCAGACTGACATCTACAGACAGATCCGGGCCGGAAAGGTTGGTCCGGTTTAGTTCTGATATTATTAAACTCCTGATTGGCAGCAGCTGACGTAGWTTCTGCTCCGCTTCAAATTTAAATAGCTGTTTAGACCCGCCCCCTTGTGATTGACACCTCTGTTGACCAACTGTGTTGATGTGTTTAAAGTCTAAAGAAGACCTCGTGGTTTTGAGGCATTAATCTGGTCTTTTCGCTCTTCAGGGCTCAGTGGAGCTGGGAGGCGTGGCTCCCAGTAGCTCCGCCCCCACATGTGGGACAGAAGTGAAGACAGAGGCTGTCAGTACTCAGGTGAGCTCAGCTGTTTTGGGTAAAGACTGAGAGCTGCGGTCCTGTCTGTAAATCTTTGATGAGGAACAGAATCGGTTCTGAAGCTCTGGGAGAACCCGGTTCTCTCTGACTGATCTGAATAATTCAGRCCCGCGGGTTGAGGGCAGTTCTGTTCATTTTCCTTAAATACCTCTGCCTCTGTCTCACCTCGTCTGCCCCCGCAGGACGCAGAGCGGCTGGAAACCACAAGCTCCGCCCACATCACCAGCACAGAACCGGGTCCGTGGAAAGGTCAGAACGGGCAGCCGGTCAACGGCGTCCTCAGCAGGTAACGGTTTACTTCCTGTCTGGCTCCCAGAAGGCCGCGGGGGTTCTCCTGTGGGTCCGATGACGAGCTGATGGTTCTGTTCAGCTCTGAACGCTAGAACTTTACCTTGTTTCTGCCACAGGAAAACTTTTATTATTCAAATGCTTTTGTTGTCAGGATGGCGGACAGCGCTGACCCGAAGCTCCCCGACTCCACGTGTGTGGCGGCGCGCACACGGCCGCTGCTGAGCTGCCGGCGGCGGCGAGTCGTTCAGCCCAGCACGGTGACCAACCTGAACGGGAAGGTGAGACTCCATCTTTGTTTCTGGATGTGTTGGACGGACCTGTTTGTCCTCACGGCGTCTCTTTGACCCGAGCGTTGTGGCCTGACCCGGTCTGTAAAGGGACCTTGTGATGGGTTCAGTTCTGATCAGAACCCGTCTCCCCTCTGCAGGCCTCCAGGATGGTTCCGTGTCCCTGCAGGGTGAACCCTGGCTGTGTGATGTGCGGTGGCTGGCCCACCCCCAGAGAGGAGCCCCTGTACGAGCTGCCCACCCTGGACCGCCTGTCGAGGCTGGACCTTGGCGTCCACCCCATCCTGTCCTTCCCTGACGGTCAGTTCTCACCACTTCCTGTTTGACATGCTCAGAAAGGCGGGTCTGATGGTTCTGACTTCCTGCCCCCTCAGACGTGTCGGTGGGTCTGCGGCTGCAGCAGGTCATGAAGAGTCAGTCGCCCAAGTCTCTGGAGAGGAGCAAACCACTGAAGAAGCTCTCGCTCAAACACAAGCTGTCCTCGTCCAAAGAGAAGCACAAGTTCACCAACTCACTCATGGCAGTCCGTAAGTCCAGAACCACAAGAACCACAGGTCCTCAGAGGACCCTGAAGTCCCTCCAACACCCAGACCAAAACCATTCAGATAAATCTGTTGATTATAAACATGGTGATGATCTGTGTGGTTCTGATGATCTGACTGTGTGGTTCTGATGGTCTGTGTGGTTCTGATGGCCTGTGTGGTTCTGATGATCTGTCTGTGTGGTTCTGATGGTCTGTGTGGTTCTGATGATCTGACTGTGTGGTTCTGATGCTCTGTGTGGTTCTGATGATCTGACTGTGTGGTTCTGATGATCTGTCTGTGTGGTTCTGATGATCTGTCTGTGTGGTTCTGATGATCTGTCTGTGTGGTTCTGATGATCTGTCTG